GTTCGCTACTGATGCTGCTGTCTCGTCCGTCTCTACCCGGCCTTCGGCTCGATCGCCGACGTCCATCGCGCGTCGGAGTTGCGCGTTTTGCGCTTCCGTCAATGTCTCAATATTTTTGATGTGCTGCGTCACGACCACTTTGTTGTCACGCGGTAGTAGCACCTTGCACGCCTTAGTTTTCTAGCTGATGCCGACAATGATGGCGCGCGTCGAGCTCTGCAGCAGCGAGTTCTTGCGCGGGTCCCTATACACGCTGCACCGGGAGCCAAAAATGACAATTCCACGCAGATCCGGCGTCTTGACCGTCAGCACCTCGACAGATGACGCTCTCTTTGCGTTTTCTTGCGTGGCGCTCCGGTTGAGGATGTGGACGGCGTATAGCACCGCGTCTCCCCAGAACATCAGGGGCAGCGCGCAGGCAAACATCATGCTGCGCGCGAGGTTCAGCACTGTCCGGTGCATTTGTTCCGCCTTGCCGTTTGAGACCTGATTGCGCGCCTCCGACACTTGGCACACGACGCCCGTGCGCTCGCAGAATAGGTCCACGTTGGCGTATTCTCTGCCGCTGTCCGTGCGGAGCACGTGGAACATGAACCCAAAGAGCTTCTCGAAATGAACAAGGAACGACTCGAACTGCTTTGCCGCAGCGTCCTTCGTGTGCGCGAGGAAGACTCGTCAGTAGTTGCTCATGTGATCAACGAAGTTCACAAGGTACCGATTGCCGAGGCGGTCCTGCGGCGTCATTGGAACCTTCAGGTCCGAGCATATGACGCCGCCGATGCGATCGATGGGCGAGTGCGTGCCGCTGTCTTGTTGGGACTGAGCGTTGCGCGTCTGGTTTCTCTCGAGGCACGACACGCACGCCATTCGTTTATTGTTGCTGAGCCGAATCCCTGATGTCGGATCTCGCGCCATGCGTTCGATCGTGTCGTACGCAAGGTGGCCGAGTCGCTGGTGCCGGTGCAACAGCGAGGCTTCGTGCGGCTCGTCGGCGTTGGTTTCCGTTGCATGCGCTTCGAGCGCCGCCATGATCGCGTCGCCGCATGCACCTTCCTTGTCGCGCGAAGCCTTCGTCGCGACGTACAGCAAGTTGCTGTCGATTGTGACATCGAACGCGATAGCACCGTCGCTGCACCGAGCGAGCGATCGCCTGTCGCCGGCGTTCACTAAGGCAAATCCTTTGTTCGCAAGGTTGCCATACGACACAATGTTCTTCGCCAGTCGCGGCGCCAAGTACACATCCGTGAGCGTCACTACCGCCTCAGCGCTGCGAGCGAGAACCTCGAGGCGCACGCTGCCGACACGCGTCAAGTGAAGCGACTCGATGTCTGCCATCGCAATCTCGTGGCTGCAAGCCGTAGAGTTGAGCAGCAGCGACTCGTCGTTGACAAGATACCGGCTTGCTCCGCTATCGAGGATCCAGTCTCCTTGGACGACGTCCATGGCATCGGTCGCAGCAAGTACGAAGCCGCGTGTGGCGTCCGTGGCTCGTACTCCGTCGCTCGTCGCAAGCAAGAAGCCGCATGAGTCGTCCATGGCTCGCGCTCCATCGCTTGCATTGGTCGCTGCGGTGCTTTGCCGCGCGAGCCCTTCTTCCTTCTGTTGCGCTTCTTCGTGGTCGCCCTGTTCTTCTCGGTCAGTGCAAGGATCATGCTGGCGCCTCCACCCTCCGCAAGTGTCTCGTTGTCGTGCACGACTCGCGCGCGACAGTCGGCCGCGATGTGGCCTGGTCGCCCACATCGGTAGCACGTGATCGTGCTCCTGGGTTTGCCTTCCACGTGCGCGGCGACGACCTCACGACCCACCGCGCTGATGCCGTGCTCAATGGACTGCGCGAAGTGCGCCAGCTCTTTGGCATGGCGCAGGTAGTCGAGTCGCGTGGGTTCATACTTGGACCGCATCAAATTCATCAGCTCCGGCGAAGCATGGTGGACGATGTTATCGAGAACAAGCGAGTCGGCACCACCACGCGCCTCGCTGACAGCAACAATATACAGGAAGTGCTCGGCCCATGTGCGTCGTGCGTCCTTCTTGGCCATGATAACTTCATCGCCTGGCTTGCCGTGATTGACGTCTTGAACGTGCGCAGGAGCTGCTCCATAATGTACTCCAGTGTGGGTGATTGCGTCCACCAGGTATCGACCTGCTTGTGATAGTACCTCTAAGCCGTGCCGGCGAGAAAGTGCCCAAGCAGGTCGACCTTGACGTCTTCGGTCCATCCGAAACCACACGACTCTTCCGCGAGGCTCACCGCGCGCAGAAACACACGCCTCCAATTAAAGAATCCGCTCCCGAGTCCGCGGTACAGCTCTGTACCATCAAACTTGCGTATGTTTAACTTCCGCTGGCTTGCCGACGGCATCCCATAGCCCTTGAGGCCCGGTCGCACATACGCTTGTGGCGAAGCGACTGGTTGCGGCAGCGGTAGCGTTGCATACTCCTGCGGAGGTGGCGCATGCGCTGGTGCGCGCTGCTGCAGCTGAGGTGCTGCGCGCGCGCAAGGTGGCTTGAGCGATGCGAAACGCGACGCGCCAAGATCAGTCGCGCGCTGGTACTTACGCGGCACCGGTGCCTTCTCCTCCGCGCCTCCGATCGCGTCGATCGCCATCGGTCGGCCGTGCATGTTGGCGCCGAGTTTAGAGGCGAACAGTCCGCTCTCCACGGCTCCGAGCATGCTCTCCTCCTCGTCTCGCACTCTCTGCGACGACTCGAGGCTCGCCAGTCGATCGGTGAGTGCGGCGAGCGCGGCGAGCATCTTATCGTCTCGCTGCCCGCTCTCTCGAGCGATCTCATTGGTGACGACTGCGAGTGAGGTAGGCGCACGCGCTGGCGTGCCGCACCCAGGCGAGGCTCACGGGACACCCCCTGGTGTCTTCGTAATCGGTTAGGTGGTTGCGGCCATTGGGATCATAATCTGTTGGCAAGATGCGTGTTGCGAGAAGGAAGCGTTAGGTGAACAATAAGATACTGTTGTATTTCCTTACTAGTTCTGTCTTCTCTGCCATGCTCCCCAAAGCTCTCTGCTCCAGTCATCCATTTCGCACGCATTCTAGCCCTACTCAAATCACTATCCTGCTTGTCACTCTGCGTCAATCTTGTGCGCACAGCGAGTTTGTGACATCATGTTTCCAAATAAAACACTAAGTCACCGGCCGAACACTCCGGTCGCCTTTACATACCATTGCACCCAATTCCAACATTCCAATACAATACGTGCCAATGACAGCTGACAGGCTTAAACCGTACAGCTGGTGAACGTTACGATCTGAGACCGAACAGTGGTCAAGGAGTGCGGGTGTGAGTCAGTAAAGGATATCAAATGACAAGTTGTTGTAAGCGGAAACGTACAATGTTGAACAAGGTGACATCATAGGTTGAGAATCCACCAAGTAAACGAACGTAGGAAGTTCTTAGCCACTAAACGATAGAAGGCCATCACTGCACCTCACTCTTTACGTAAAACGCACTATTCATACTGAGGCAGCATGTTCCGTCTACAATGACAACAGCGTAGGCCAGCACCAGTACATCACATACACTATTGCGCAAGTAGAAATGTCGATTTCAGTCGCCAATATAAATGGATGACGTGATCTGTTATCGGTATCATGCAATATCTTACGATGTAATCTGCAGTTTGGTTGCCACAGTTACAGATAAGATTAAGCACATAATGATGATCTGCTCACGACTCCTTACACGTGTCTGTTCTTGGATCAATTATGATCTGGGGACTGTTCTTTTGACGTATGTTGGCCAATGAATAAATGCCTTGCCCAACGCAGCCGAGCAATACATCTATATGTAATCTGATATGTTGTATATGCAATGTAACACGAATCGATTTTATTCACAAAGAAATATTGCATCAAATCATCTGCTACGGCAAAGTTGCTAATAAATAATGTCTTTATGAAAAAATATATGAATACCATAATCTCGAGTGAAATAGCTATATGTAGCTGCTTGAGGTATTATTGCTGGACCCTAGCTACTAGGGAGATAAAAGGCCACCGATTTCATCGCTGTCAATGCCATGCTACGGCGTTACCCAATTGCAAGCAAGTCTGGTTTCTTAAGTCATTTTAGTCGGGTAAAGTTCAAGTAAATATTAGCGAATTACTTAGAGGAAAGCGAAATTCACTAAATGACATCGATCAAGGTCCTTCCCCTTTACTCTAAAACTGTTCGCGCTCGTATTTTTATATTTTACTGCGGTCGTTTCTAAGCTCGCACTTGATATGTCCGCAACTTTTTAATTGCGCTTTTTGCTCCTAATGTCGCTTTACCGACCATAAAGCGTTAGCCGGTTTCCTATCCTGCAAATTTACGTGGGTAGATTTCGGTATTGTGGAATTGTTCGAATATTGTTTCGTGGAATTGTTCGAACATTGTTTTGTGCTCTATGCACCACAAACGAACGACGCCAAGTCATAAATGATGCAACACACAACCAACCGCCAGGAAAACAGATGCGAAAAACACACACAAGTAATTGTCTACAGCGTCATCATTTTCGAAATGACAAGAGCGCAAAGCATCGCGCGTTGTGGAGCGCACGCGCCAATAAAATACTTCGCTCAAGTCTCTGTCACGCACGTGCCAATAAACTGCTTCCCTCAAGTCTCTGTCCCGCACGTCTAAGATCCTAACGACAACAACGATGCGGATCTGTCTTTCGAGTCGGTGCACAAGGAAAACAGAGTTGCCACTGTCTGTCGCTGTCGCGAAACATCACGCGGATGCTGCATCGACGGTGTTGAACACCGGGTACCTGTCATTACGCACATCCTCTCCCTGCGTACCTCGAATCCACTACCAGCTCAAGTTCTTTCTTCCTCACCGTCAGTGACCGTCGAAGTATAGACCAACTAAACTTGTGCAAATTCTGCTGACCCTCTGGTCCACTGTGCGTCGATCGTCCCATGTCCAAACTAAACCTACAAGTTGGTCGAAAAGAGCTTACGCGACGCCAAGTGTGGGCTTGTTGGGCAATTCGGCTACTGCTCTTGGCGTTGACTCGACGTCGCACGCCGGTGTGGTAGTTGCTGCAGATACGAGCAGACTGAAGCAGTGACCAGGTCACCGTTCAGGATTGGACGCTGATACTCCAAGTCCTTGCGGAGGGCAGGGTCGTTTGCCAGCAGCTTGTAGCGGTACAGAATAATCCATCGCAACGTGATCGCAACGACCTGGTTGGTCCCCAGCTCTCTTCGCGGCGTTAGAGTGAGCCCCGAGACCCCAAACTCCAAGTCATTTGCTCGTGATGCTGGATACAAAGGGTCATCGATCACTGCGTCCATGTGTATCACTCCATGCGACGATGTCAGGTCCGAGCACAGAATGTGGTTCACGCTCGATGGCAGCCCAACTCCTCGCAGGTCAAGTTGCCAATACTCGGCAGGTGCGTCGGCGCTATTTAGCCTCGTGCGCGTCGCTTCGACACCAAAGTGGCGCTTCATCATGGTCGGAATTGAATCGTAATACGCGACCGCAGCCGCGTAGACGTCTTCCAGTGAGTCGTGTGGGATCTCCGACACAAACACGCTCGACACGAGCGTACAGTCCTTGCAACCCGTGATGTCCATGCGAGAGATCGGGAGCACAGGGCCAGTCGCAGCAGCGTCCGTGTCGTCTCGCGACGCACCCACTTTGTCCAGTGTCATTTGGGCAAACCGACGCACAATGGACGGGATCGTAGCGAGCGAGCGCTCATTGTGCGCCGCAAGCGTCCGCCTGCGCTCACCGGCGTCGCGTCCAAAGCGCGTGCCAAAGTGCAGCGCCTGGAGGAGCTCGGGACCGCGCGAGTGCAACGGCGCGCGCGAGATCGCGGCCTGCAGCGCTGCAAACACCAACTGCTCCTGCAGTAGCACGTCTTGCAGCTCGTGCTGCGTCGCTTGGGTCTGTGCGACCGCCCGCTTCTTGCAAGCCGAGTGCTGCGCGGTCGCCAACAGGTGCGCGTCGGGTAAGTCGCGCACCCACTTGAGCTGCAGCTTGTGCAGCTCCGTTTCCATACTCGTGACCTGTGCCCGCAACAGGCGCAGCTCATGCGTGGCGCTGCACGGCGCTTTCGTGCTGGGGCGACCCGACTTGCCCGACCGTCCTGCCGCTCGACTGACTCGAGTTGGTACGGAAGGGGTCCGCCGGTGCATCGGATCGGACGGTCGGCTTCGTCGCTTCTTGGGGCTGCGCAACGACGTCGGAAGGTCTGCCTCGGCCGAAGCTTCTGGAGACCGCATGTGCGGCGTCGGAAGGGGTACCGGGTCCACCCGACGGACCACTACCGACTTGGTCGGACGAGTGTCCATTATTAGCCAACTCGAGTTGTATTGGCGTGGAAATTTTCAGCACTGTAAGGTCGTCGTCGTCGTCGTCTTTGTTCCTTCCACTTTGGGTTTGTGGGGTGTTCGGGCGGAGGACGGACAGAGCGGGAGGCCACGCGTGCGCAACGTCCGCGTGGGCACAACAACAGCAGGCGATATGACCAAAGACGCTATTGATTGCATCGGCGGGTCGAGGCCGATGATGCTCAAGCGGGCGCGAGAGTGGCGTTGACTGGTTTTTGTTGATGTTTATCCCAACGCGGGGCTTTTAATAGTATAGACGCTGGACACAACGGGGCGAAGAGCGATCGGCTGCTGGGGCGCGGGCGCCGGGTCTGCGCCCGATCGCATCCACATCGATGGGCGACCACTGGTCGTCGTCGTTCGATCCGCGGGAAGGCGGAGAGAGAACGGACGGACTGGAAGGAAATCGTGCGGAGGGAGGCGAGTCACGCGTGGCCTTTGAAGTACCGCGTACGCTCTTGGCAGTGGATATGCAGAGATTTGTTTGCGACGCCACGATTGATGACCCACAGCACCAGGTTTGACGTGGGGCGTATAGCGATTGATGGATACCCTCTGGTCTCACTCTGGCAGACGCATGTGGCCCGAAAAGCGCCTCAGCTGCTTCGAAGGCAGATTCGTGTTGGGTGACGAACCGGCAGTCTGTCTACACTCAGCTTTGCATTTCGTGGTCAACGCAGAGTCGAAATATATGTTTGACTTCACTGGCCACGACCTCGAGATATGGGATCATCACCGCGTTGGCGATATGTTGGCGCGGATCGACGGCCGCGCAACTTTGTTTGGCTGCTGGCTGGACAAACTCGTCGATAACGGGAGGCGTCACTCGCACGAACTTGGAACATGTGGGCAGGTTGTTGACGTAGCCGTCGATGCCAGCGACGGACATAGCACGAGCTTATCGACTTAAACGAGGAACAAACGGAGAGAGACATGAACAACACGCGACCATTAGCCCCTCCTTTCTTGCACATCTTGACATGTAAATAGACGATCATGAAACTCCTCCACCATTAGCCCCTCCGCGCGCGCTCTTGAGCTGACCAGCGCCCCAAATCAACATCGCTCGTTCTTCGTCTACAGGCCTGACGCGATCATCGATCCATTGCAAATCCGCCCCAGCGGACGAGACCTTCGAGAGTTGTCTGGTTTACCGCTGTGCAGGAACACAGTAGCTCGTGACTTTTTTGTGAAACTGTCCCTCCCGTTCCCAACGGTGTACGAGTGCAATTACACGATAAGGTCGACAGTGTTGTGAGTATGTCTGGAAACGGTCGTGCAGGGCAATAAGCTCACAATGACGTAGGCTTGTGGCGGCGCGTTCGTGTGCGAGGCTTCTCTCACGTGAATAACTGTCGTCGTGCCGGCACGTCGTTGGACAGTTCCTTGTATTAAATGTAAAAGTCATCAATAAAAGTAGCACCGGTCCAAATGTCTCTCGTATCAAAACAAACAGACATACCTGCCCACGCCTCTACTTAGTCAAAGTACCTCCTCGCCTTCGACCTCACTTGCCAATTTACCCGCATACTAACACTACCATACACCGCATTCCACGCTCGGCAATGCACCACCACCTCTCGCACGCACGCACGCATGTCTGTCTGTCTATCAACAACCGAGACTTGACTAGGCGTGCACTCGATCCTTTGCACATAGTCCACCAGCAAAAGGTGGCGCATCTCATGTATGTTTGTAACGGCGATGTTCCCCGCTTAGCGGCATGCTGACGCCTCCTGTATTGATCACTTTGCAAACAGTCCGCTCGAGCGTGGTAGAACGTGAGGGACTCCTTAACAACGAGCGGTACGAGGGGTTACATACTCACAGGGCCGTTGAACGTGTGGGGAGATCACGCACGCGACCTTTTGCTGGCGACTGGTTTGGACCTTCCTGCCGATAAGACCAGCGGCGTAATCAACATGCTCGGGCAAGACTGCTTTTTCACGACGCAAAGGCCACTTGTCCTTTGCTGAGTGTACGTGACTGTCGCTCTGTCGCTTCGTTGCGTGCCAAAAACGCGCTCGATTTTATAAGTACATGCGAGGGACTCCATGGCCAGACATTAGTGTGGCAAGAAACTGCTTGTGCATGCTGCATTAGCCAGCTTTTGAACGCTACCTCTTACCGGTTGGTAGGCTGGCGAGCGATCGCAAGGGGTCGTCGGCGCAAGTAGATCTGCAGCTTCGCATACAACTCGTATCGTTACAAAAGGGATCTCAATCGCTACCGACCAATCTGTCAGTCAGTCAGTCAATGAGTAGGTCAGTTAGTCGGCTGCGACTGCGAGACAGAACCTACTTGAGTCTCTGCTGTCGAATGTAGGCGCATACTGAGGCCGTGATCAAGTCGCCGTTCAGTATCGGTCGCATCACCTTGAGACCCTCTTGGACCGCCAGCTCGTGCGGCAGCATGTTGTAGCGGTAGATTGCAATCCACCGGAGAGTCACCGACCGCGTTTCGCCTGTCAGTGGCTCCTTCTGCGGCGTGACCGTCAGTCCGCAAAGTCCATACTGCGACGACGCCGATGCAGGTACAGGGTACAATGGATCGTCAGTGACCGTATCCACGTGGACCATACCATGCGACGCCGTCAGCTCTGAGCACACGATGTTGTTCATCGTGGCGTTCAAGCCGAGTCCGCGGAACGAAGAGCGTCGATAGAGCACAGACGAGTCCGTGCTGTTCAGGCGCGCTCGGGTGGCCTGGACGCCAAAGTGCGTCTTCATCGAGTGCGGAATGGCATCAAAGTACGCCAAGACCGCGGCGTACGCCTCTTCCAGCGACGTGTGCGGGATCTCTGAGATAAATGTGCTCGTGAGCAGTGTGCAGTCCTTGCACCCGATCACGTCGATTTGCGACAGCGGCAGCACCGACGTGTCCCCGACGCTCTTTTGGCGGCTCGAGAGCGCCTTCGATAGCACTGCATCAGAGAACTTGTCGACGATCGACTGCACCGTCGCGAGCGACCGCTCGTTGTGCGCGCGGAGGACGCGTTCGCGCTCGTCCGCGTCGCGCCCCAATTGAGTGTTAAAGTGCAGCGCCTCAAAGACGTCGTCGCCACTCGAGTGCAGTGGCGCATGAAGGAACGCCGTCTGAAGCGACGCGAACGCGAGTTGTTGCTGCCGAAGGAGCCGCTGCAGTTCCCTGTGCGTTTGCTCAGCGACGTTGGCCGCTCGCTTTGCACACAGCGACCGGTACGCCATCGCCAGCGCCTGGTCGTCCGGGACGTGCGTCGTCCACTTTTGCCGCAGCGCGAGGACCTCTTGCCCCATAGACACCACTTGGCTCTTGAGCATCCGAATCTCGTGCGTGGCACTCAGCTGCACGTGTTTCGAATCCCGGGGCCGATCGCGCGGTCGTCGTGTCCCAACGAGTGCAGTTAGGAGCTCCTCGTGATTGTCGCTCGGATGGTGCCGTTTCTTGGCCGTGCAGCTGCAGTCGGTCGGTTGAGGGCATGTCGTCTGGTCCTTCAATAGCGACTCGAGATGGAGGAGAGGAGCAGCAGAGGCCATGTGAACCATTGCAAAGACAACAAGAGAAGAGAGAGAGAGAGAGAGAGAGAGAGAGGACGAGAGAGGACGAGATGGGACTGGGAGCAGTGGTAAACGAAAGTGATGTGGATGATGGACGCTGCTTCGTTTACATGTGTGGCAAATCGCAAGGGCCAATCGACTACTGTCGGTGGAGCTGCCCGCGTTGAGGGAGAAGGAGGACGAGGACGAGGACGAGAGGGGTCGATGGCGACACGCGAGCGGGTGTAACTGGTGGTTTCGATGCGAGCTGGCAGTCGGCCCCGCCTTCTCCACCCGATCCCTACACTGTCGACTCTCTGGTCTCGCGGTACAACACGAGGCGATTGCAGGACTATCCAGTCGGCCTCTGTCAACCGAAGAGAGACCGACCGCACACGGAATGTCCACCGCAACACGTCGTTCGATCGTCGTCCGATCAAACAAACGGTCGCCTCGCTGCCTCCCCCTTCTTCTTCTTCTTCTTCTTCGTCCTGACGTAACGCTCGGAAGCCGAAACGCACCTCCTGCGCAATGGCGACCGGTAACACAATACGCGAAATGTCCACATCCGCTGTCGCTCTCGAGTCCGAGCTGACGATCGATCTACAGTGCCGTCCTCTAGCAAAGTCTTCGCGTTACAATTGTCGATTGGGACTAATTGGCACGAGCACAGCCCGAGCCACAAGGATCGGAGGATTTAGTTGACGTGGAAAAGCCACTGTAGACGACGGTCTCTCGTCCGATCTCGTGATGGGAACACGCAAGGCTCCTCCCGCTGGAAGTGGTCGCGCGATCTGGTCCCGTGGCCCTGTAGCTTGGATAGTGCAGGTTGAAGGCTCAGTAGCGACAAAGATTGCCAGGAGTTCGGTCGTTGCAACGCCACCTATCGTTGTCCGTCTTCTGCAACCACGTGCAAATAATGATGGCTGGGTGAGCGAGAGCGCTAAGCCAACATGAATGGGCGCGCGAGCATTGACTGGGCCCTAACGAGTTGTTTATAGGCGTCGATTCTTTGGAAAGAGCGAGGCATAAAATAAACACACGTCGCATGGATGCGCTGGCCAAGCCCAACGTCCCTGAAGTCACGACTGCAACGACGACGGGAACGAGGCGGAACGCGGTGCCGCTTGGCGTAGAAAAGCGCCTGGAAGAGCGTTAGACACGACTTCGTCATCGACGCGCACTTCGTGTTCAAGGGCGCAACCAATGAGGTGAGTGTGTATCCACTCTCGATGCGGCGTTCCCCCCGTGTAGCTGAGCATAGCAGTCTGCGACTTTGTCACGGATACACTTGTGGTCTAGGGCATGTCGCAGATGTGGGGGACACTCGTGCTTGCCGATGAGAGTGCGCAGGACGCTCACGTGGCACGATGGTCGTTACTTTACCGGCAGACGATGAGAAGCATGCGATTGTCCATCTTGTACCGATCGCAATCACTCTATCGTTCACACGACGTGTCGCACGTACGTGCACTTTGTGTCAGTTGGCTCCCGCGGTTGATTCCAAGATCCAGGTCTACCAATGTAATGCACATGCGGAGAAGCGACAATGAGCACCTGTAGCCTTTATTGCGCAATGTATCGCTTGTGCAGAGGGGACGACAGCTCCACCACGCCACCAATACAGACTTGGTCGTCTTTCCTTTTTCACATACAGTCGTGTCGTACCGGCCCGAGCAGCTAAAGTATCTGTCTTGCACAACAAAAACGTCTGCGATGGATGTCATGTCCGTCAACAGGACATGCGTAGCTGCTTGTAAGCCAGTTTGTAGTCGTTTGAGGTACTTGAAGGAGCGTCTGCACGCACTGTGTCATCGATGAGTCGACTGACCAAGAGACGCCGCTTTATTGCGACGAAACTGTGCTTTGCCGTACTGTCGTCTCAGCAGCTACCACGTTGTGGTACTGCAGAAGCGTCGTTTCGCGTTGCTTTGACAAAATCTTCATGGCAGCCTTGCTTCAACTCGTAAACAGTCATGGCGTAAAGAAAGTTAGGCCCGACGTGCCTTCGACGATGCCTCGTTACCTCTTAGAAAGACGGTCGTCCGTATTCCCAGCGTGCTGTCCAGACTTAGGATACATGGTACATCCTGCAACCACCAAAGGTTGAACCAACTCGTCTGCCTCTTCCTCATTTTTTCTTCTAGAACCAGGATCGTATGTTCGAGAATGCAAAAAGGCTCAGTAGAAGCGGTCTCGTCTGATCGAACCACTCTCCGCATATCGTCATCGCTCGTATCCCACTTAGCCCATCACCGATTCCACAAAGTTGATGAGCAACTGCCGCGGAACGTAACTGTCCTCTCTTGATCTCAACACTTCAATGCATCGTTGATTGTGATGCATGCACCTGCTGCAGCTCATGGCTCTTCCAAAACGTCTGTGGGCCTAGGGTTGCCAACTGGCAAAATAAGCAGCAGGTCCAAACGAGATTATTGAAATCTAACGATGACGCGATTGCTACATTTTATTCCTCGAAATATGACTGTAGCAAAGGTCGTTCGGTATTTCACCACAAATTGCTTTTCATGAACTTGATAGACAAAAAAATACCGGTGGGCACTGGTAGCTGTGCAATATTCCGACACGAGAAGCCGTTCGCTCGATTCATCGATATATTTGCACACATTGAAGATGCTTTCTATTCAAGATTGTATTCAGACTCACGATTGCCAACTACCAGAAAATTGCATGATATTGCGAAGGCCACGACTAGGGGCACACCCCATTTTTGCTACGGGCACACCCTCCCGCCTAAAATGATAAAAATGACTTATAATTTAATTTTGCAGAATGAAATACATGTGCAGTACAGTACAATTGTATGTAGAAGCACCCAACCGATTTGCTGAAAGTGTTTGGCCTAGGGATCTGGCGGTTTAGGAAGAGAATTTATCAACTGCAAATGAAAAAGAACATGCCGTCAATACCGTTCTTGGCCGCGCAATTGCGTCTATGCCCCCTCATACTCATACTCATACTCATACAATACGACTGAAAACACCGCATAATAACACACACCAGCTGAACTCACAAAATGGCGCACGAAAGCCTGAAAGAAGGAAAAACGTCGCTGGAATATCTTTAACCCCCACCTGCCGCTTTCAATGGTACCAGCTTTCTTTCCAGGAACGAAATGGAAACAACCATTAACAATTTTGCGGCTACCCAAGAGTATGCCATCGTCGTCGCCAGATCAAAGAAAATGAAGTGGGGTCGTCTGCAACTGGTCTACTACAAGTGGGATCGTGGCGGGACCTAAAGAACAGTCATAACCTCAGCGACGGTGAACGAAATTGACGAAATTCTAGCATGTTGACGAGATACTTCGTGCGCAATTGTTTTTTGCATCTTCTTACTCGAAATGATCTGCCCCAAGTGAGACATTTAACAGTATATACCGGTACGTACCCCGTCACAGACCGAAGCCTCAAGGTCCACGCATACTGCAAGCGGTATGTGTTTGCCCGTGCGTGTCTCGGCCAAAAAACGTCGAAAATAACGAGTCGTTGCCACTGCCGATGGTCAGGTCACTCGTCATCGTACCATCGGATTGATCACTGTTTTCGAGACAGTAGAGATTCCTGCAGCCATTGATCGTTTGTATACTGCCCTAGCCACGAAGAATTGCAAGAATCTCGCGCAAGAGTGGATCAGCCGTATAGGGTTGGGAGATAGGAAGCAGTAGCAAGTGACTACGTGTTTTAACTATCATTTTGCACTATAAAACGTGAAGTCTTCTATACCATTTTAGGCGGGAGGTTGTGCCCGAAGCTAAAATGGGGTGTGCCCCTAGTCGTGGTGTAACGGGGCAGCTCGTTACATGGAATTGTCACTTTAGGAAAGTGACAATAAAGAATATGAAGTTGAATATTCTTTGAACAATATCACCAAAGTGGTGATATTGAAGGGTCGACCAAAGAGTCTGTTCATTGGTTGATATCTTGATGATATCAACCCACCAATCGTCGCAAGACGCGCGCAATGAGTGGTGACGAGACGTCACCGTACACTCAGTTAGATTAGTATAATTAAGTTAAGTCAAACAGAGGGACAGTAGTTAAAAGACTTTATCATATTAATATAACAGTCCTGCTTTTACCTTACCTACGCTTCCTCGCTTGCCACGTGTACGTCTGTCGGGGCACCGATACCCTTGCGTTAAGTTCACGCAAACGTGTGCCCCGTTACACCTGGTAGCACTTTGTAGTCCTTCCAAGGACCACAACATTCCACATGAACATGTTGGATGATGAAGAGACCTTTCACGCCACGCGTGAAGGGTTTACCCATTTGAGTGACATTGAATGGGGTGCGGTAGAACGAATGAGTTCTACCGTAGGCGAACTCGCCATTAGCGCCATGTTGGAGTCTCTAGACAGAGAACAACAACATGCCGCTATCGCCAAGTTCATTCAAAATAAACTTGCTCTCGAGAGGGAGAAAGTAGCCTTGCTTCACCAGCAAGGCTCTCAACAGGCCGAGCAGGTGAGAGAACTTGGTGCTCAACAGACGGAGCTGTTGAGACACCAGCGATTCCATGCTGCTGTGGGCGGGACGGCGCATGGGCGTCGTCCCGAAGTCATGAAAGTTGACATCTCCAAGTACAGTGGAGTCCCGGAGGACTCCCTGTTACTATGTTTTGTCGAACTCGACAGAGCCCTAAGGGCTCGTCGCGTCGAAGATGAGCAAATGAAACTCACATTTGCTCAGACCCACTTGGCAGGGCGTGGCAAAACTTGGTCTCTGGGACTCGAGAGTAGCGACCCAAACGTGTTTAGGTCGCTAGATGACTTCAAGTCCCGGCTCAGACAAACGTTTGAGCCGCCACGGGCTGAGTTCAGGGCTCGTTCAGAGCTCCTGAAACTCAAGCAGGGTAAGCGTGATGTGCACGCTTACGCACAACATATACGACTCCTTGCGAGTAGTATAACTGCTAACCCAGTCCATGAACACACGTTGATTACGGTGTTCATGCAAGGGCTCGCAGAAGGGCCCGT